TCAAGTAGGATCCACATTAAATCCATACTGGTGAAAGGGACTTTAAACAAAATGTAACATGAAGCATGCTTTCAAATAATTCTCATCTGTTGAATTCAGTGTTCCTGAAACAATTAACCTGAAAAATTGTTAGCAAGTCTACCTATGCAGTGTATTTTATTCTACAAGGAGTAGAGTTTGCTACCCTTTTAGTTACTACTTTTGCATATCAGATCTCATCTGGAAGAAAACATTTAAGAACATCCACACCAGGAAAAAATAAATGCCCCTTCTGTTAAGCAAGGAAAACATTAGGCCTCAGCAGTCTGAAACATAAGCACTCAACCACAAAAAAGGCCTAAAAATGGCCCAGAGTAAAACCTGGGATGAAGCACTACTTGAAAATCACAGTACACATGGCTATCACATTTTTGGCCATCCCTACAAAGCTCATGTGATTCTGCTTCGAATTTGAAGAACTCATTAGAAGTGAAGTCAGAAGTATGCTGCCATTTTTGCAGTTTCTTTCACTTCATTTGTTTTGAAAAAAAGAAAAAAAAAATCAAACCCCAACAACACAAAAACACCACCCCTAATTTCTAGTGCTAATAATTGATAACTGCAATCAAATGCAGAATACTGCAATATCACCTTCCAGCAATGAAAGGCTCCTAAGCTGAGAAAAGTAAAATACTCCAAGCCCAGAAGGGGCTCAGACAGTACAAGAACCTGCACCACAACAAGGGACCCTCCATCTCTCAACCAAGATATGCAGAAGCACAATTACTTTACGTCCGATTTTGTAGTCAATTGAAACCCACTTCATATTAGGCATCTATTGCTCTCAAGACAACAGTGAGATAGAAGAAACAGATGCTGGGATCACAGTATGTTAGAAAGCTACCCACAGACAGATGAAGTTTTCCATTCTTCCTTTGCAAGAGAACAGAACTGGATCAAAATCAGCACTGATCAGAGAACAAGCCTTAGCAAAGATCCAAGCTCCCTTTCCACCAAGTTCAGTAGCACGTTTGCTTGATATCTATATCCACCTTTATTTTTAACTCAGTGACTAAAGGATTAAAAAATCTCTCTTATGCTGATCCCAACCTATTTTTCCCCAATCTGAAAGCCAGCAACAGATGACATACTTGAATAAAAATCCATTAACAACTGATTAACTATTATGAAATCAACAATAACATATTCTGCTCCAGAATAAAAACACAGCTTTCAGGATACACAGAAAAGGATGAGAAGTGTCATTTCCTTGGCCTGTACTTGTCTTGATAGCTCTGGATGCAGGCTTCCTCAAGTTGTTAAAGCACACGCATGACATTTATGAATACCTTATTTTGCACATCCGTGGTTAGAAAACACTTGCAAGCTCCATCTAAATGATGATAGACTCATACTAGAAATACCTTGAAGTTGTCAAGTTCCCAGAACAGCCATGTGGAAGGAAAGAAAATAAAATACACCACCAGAAAACTGACTTGATTTTACTACTATGTGGAAAGCACTAGTTTAAACACTAATTCTTCCCTTTGAGCTGATGCAGCCAGTCGAATAACAGCTAACCAGAAGCCAAAACCATGTGTCCTGAATACTCACTAAATCTGTATAATCTTGAAAACAATTTTGCAATAAGGAGACGATGAAGATTCCTTTTTCAAACTCATACAAGAAAAATGCCATTTGACAAAACCAAGCACATCAAAGTTTCTGGTGTGACAGAAAAAAAACCCCAGTCTGGTAAAAACATGCACCTAACTGATCCAAACAGTCTAATGCAAAAACACATACATGCTTTTACTTATATTCATATTTCCTGCTAGACACTTGCACTGCCCTCCCAATTTACTTACAGGAAGAACCAGAAGGTCTGAGCAGCAGCTCAAGCCCTGCCAAACCATTTGCTGCTATACTTAATTTTCCAAGTCTGGAAAGTATTTACAGTTGTTAAAATGTTAACAAACCTTCTGAAAGGAATAAATTCATAGACTATTTTCCAAGAAACAGAAGAGGGCAGCCCAGAGGGATGGGGACTCTATTTATTCATAAAGTTCTATCTCCTCACACTATTACCATCCAATAAAAAGGGGACTAAGCAGGTAGAAAGATACACACTGAAAAAAAAAAAAAGAAAGCATGAACATCTTTAAAGAGAGAAAGCACTCAGGACATTGAGGCAAGGTAAGTTATGCAGTCTTTCACATATGCATTTACTCAGGTTATCTCAGCAATACAGAATAACTGCAAGTGGAACAAGAGGTGGTTTGTACAACCTGAGGCACTATTCACCGTGTGAAAGTTTAAGAACCCTTGACCCTAGCAGTCTTGCTGAGCAAGTAATTTCCTTTCAGCATGTGTTAAGGCCTATAGATCAGCCTCATCTTACCAGAGCAACCAAGACCCAAGATGCAATCTGTGATCAGCCACTTAACAGTTACCTGAGCTTACAGATTGGTCTATTTGAAATAATCTCATTTATTTCAAAGAGGCAGGTGAGATTTTTAGCAACAGTTGCCAGAGCTAAGCCTTCAGGGCCCACACTTATGATCTTGGTCAGAGCTATTCCAAAAACACTGAACTCACAAAGAATACCCTAACTTTATGAACAAGAAAATATGTATTTTTACATAAAGATTATTTTTTATTAAATAAAAAGCCACATACTTCTGTATACTCTCTCACCAGCCTTTTTAACCCAAGTTTTTTATTTAGTTGCCACTCTAAGGATGATCTTAAACTTTCTGAGGTACCAAGAAACTAGTAGAGCACTATTCCTGACAGATGCTCACCACCTTTTCTCTGTAAAGAGAAAAACTGTTAGGATCCTCCAAGACTTATAATTTTAGAAGCTAACGAAGAGGCACCTGAAGAAACAGGAAAATTAAAAGAATACATAATTTTATCGCTGTATTCCCCCTTTCTAAAACAGTCTTTTCCCCTAAAATGAACTTTGTTTGCAATTCAGCCAAGTTCAACTGCCAAGCATTTCTAAGCATGTGTTCATCTTGTTTATGAAATGGAAACTCTATCACAGAATTCCAAAAGCCTAAGGTGCAGCACAGCTGAATCCTGTGACCACAAGTTAGATCACTACATTATTACAGAGGTGCTAAGAAACTAGCAGTACATTTGGCTATTTGTAGGCCATATGAAATTAATTCACCCTCTTGAGTCAAACAGCTGTTTTATTCCCTTCTCTTCATAAGCCTGTATTTTATTTTTTCCCCTTTCCTTTTTAAGCAGTGAAAGGGGCTAGAAGAAGTTGCATTCTTCTACATATTCATTTTTCAGTATGTGTGCTTTTCTGCTAGTGCCAGACACCATGTTTACATGAATATGAAGTCAAAGTACAGGGATGTTCAAGTCAAGACATTTCAAAACTAAAACAAAACACGGGCAGTTAAAACACAGCAAGTCAGAAACCTGTACAGGCTCAGTAAACATGTGACTGGCCAACATTAACTCCTAAAAGTTTTGGAGAGGAGTAAGCCAACATCTGCAGGTCTAGAATTTCCACAGCTTTAACCAGCTGATATATTTTACTCACATTAACATACACTCTGGAGAGAATTGCTTCTCCTATGAACAGCATACTTAGTATTACCACACTGACAGAAGCATACAAGCCATGGACAATTAAATCCGTTCTGGTATAGTAACAAAGCATTTTAAGATAATTATCTAGTGTATTTTCCCTCCCCTTTACTGCACATACAAAGGCACCGGCTGCTCACTTTTAAACTGGCAGGTAGAGCTGTGGGACCGTCGCTAGAAGCAGGATGAGCACCCATACACAGCCTTATCATTTGCTTCTGCTAATACACAAAATGGGAAGAGCTTCTAAGATTTTGCAAGCAGGAGATAGAAAGTTACATACCGGTTATCTTACTGACAGACAAATCTCAGGAGGTTGTACGGACTGTCCAAAATAACACCAAAATTAAGAGGCTGCCATTCACCATCTGTTTGTCTCTCTCAGGAAAAAAGTGCATATCACAAGAAGAAATGGAGCCTGGCTCCAGGGAAGAGGAAGAAGGGGAGAGAGGAAATTTCCACGCAAATTCTAAGTGAATCACGCTGCGATGCCCGCGCCTGGCCGCACCGGCCTGCCCCAGCAAATGCGAGCGGTTCCGGGGCCACCGTCCCTCCGCCACCCCGGCCGGTGGCCCGGCCCGGCCCAAGGGCTTCCCCGCGCCGGGGCGGGGGGCGAGGGGGAAATAAATACAGCCTCCTCCGGGCAGCGACACGCAGGGAGCCCCTTCCCCGGTGCCCCCGGGGAGGAGGAGCCGCCCGCTCGCCCCCGCGCCCTCCTCGCACGGCCCGGTGCCCTCGGCGCCCGGCAGCGGCCCGGCGCGTCCTGCCGTCGCCGGGGCTGCACCGGCGGGTGGGCTGCGGCCTGCGCCGTCCCAGCGAAGCCTCGGCGCTCTCGTAGTCAGAGCGGCCCGGCTCCCCCCCGCCTCCTCCTCGTCTCTCCTTCCCTCCTCCTTCCCTCCCCGGCCCGGCCTTCAGCTCGCACTCACCCGCCTTCCTCCTGCCTGCCCGGCCCGCGGTGCGTGTGCGCGGCTCTCCCTCTCGGGCTGCCCAGCGCGGCGGGGGCGGCCGGGCGGGTGGGTGAGTGAGCGTGCGGGAAAGGAGGCGAGGGGAAAAGGAGGAGAAGGGTGGGGAGGGAAGGAGAGAGGCGGCGAGGAAGGAGAGAAACGGAGGTGAGAAACCCGCAGCGGCGCTTCTGGAGCGGGACGTGCGGCGGCAGCCGGTCGGGCGCTCGGGCGGCTGCTCCGACGACCTTTACGCGAGGGACGGGCGATCTCCGAGCTCGGGGCGCTCCGCTGCCAGCCCGGCCACCATCTTACATTGGGGAGACTTGCCCCGGACGCCGCCCCCGCTGCGCGTGCGCTGCCGGCAGTGGGCGGGGAGCGGCGCGGGAGGGGGGACGGGGCGCGACGGCAGCGGCCGCGACGGCGCGGGGCATGACGGGACTTGTAGGCGGCGGCAGCGGCAGCCCGGGCGGGGCGGGAGGAGGCGGTGGCGGTCGTAGCCGGCGGCTGTAGCCGGAGCCCGGTCCTCTACCGCCAGGCCGGGGATCCGGAGTTCTCCGCCGGACCGGGCCGTCCCACCGCTCCGCTCCGGGAAGTCCCCGTCCGTAAACTCCCTGCAACTTCAGCCACCTGTTATTGGTCATTGAACCGCGCGGCTTTCAAGTAGCGGGTTGATTTCTTTAAAAAAATCTTTCTTTCCCTGTCATTGGTGTTGCTTTGGGGGTTTTTCCCCCTGCCGGGTCGAAGCGGTGCCGTGCTGGGCTGTGCTCCGGCAGGCGCGGCTGTCAGCGGCTCGCCGGGGCTGGCCGCGGCCGCTCCGCCTCACGGCGCCCGGCCCCGCGCCCGCCGGCAGCCCGCTCTCGCTTAAACTCGGAGAAACTGTATTGCTGCTGTCCCCTCTCTCTACCACAGACACCCTGTGCCGTGGACCTGTTCTAACTGCATCCATATCGCTCTGTTTTTCCTGTGATCCCCGATGCTGCGCGAAAGATCTCATCACCTCAGCTGACAGAGAGTGCTTTTATAGCTCTCTTGTGGCTCTCCTGGCCTGGCATCCTTAGCTCTCCGGGCAGCCAGCCTCATCCTAGGTGTTTAATTATCAGTGCACAAACTATTGCTATTTTTGCCATGACAGTATTCCCCAGAGAATTTTACTTATTTCAGCAGTTGTTAGGACAAAGAGGTGTTCATCGCCAAATGCATTGGCACAACCATTACATTTAATGGTATGGATTTTTTTCTCCTTTACTTTTGTTTCTTAGTTTGAAGTACAATATGCTTGTTCAACTAACAGTGGAGCTTGTGTTGACATAGCTTATCTCCTTCCTAAAACAAGTTAATGTTACCTTGTGCATATTACATTTTAGACTGATAGATGTGTGTTCCCCACAGAAAAGCCCTACAAATTAACTTTACTACTTGCTGTCAGCAAGACCCAGGTCTGCATAAAAAGATATGCTGTTCTCGGCAGTAGTCCCAATGTGTGAACTCAAATGCAACGTTATTCAGAGAACAAAACATAAAATGGACTGTAAACACCTATATATGTGAAAAGTCCTGTTTCTCTGCATATATCTTAATGCATATACTTATATACCAATGTAAAAGTAACTACTTAGTGTATATTAATCAAATTCAGATGACTATATATGTGAGAAGTCCTGTTTCTCTGCATATATCTTAATGCATATACTTATATATCAATGTAAAAGTAACTTAGTGTATATTAATCAAATTCAGATGCATGTATGTATATAACAATGTATTTCTCAAAAACTTTATTATTTTCATATTTTCCTGTCAACTGATATATAAACCATTAGGTTCCAGAAGTATCCATTATGTAAGTAACTTATATAAGTAATGTGATTGTTGACACACCTAATACCCAGCAACATTTCCTGTTGATTAAAAGCAAGTACTTTGACTTGGAAAGACAGGTTAAAAATAATATAACTAAAAGCTGCAATTTTGAATCAGAATTGAGGCTGTTAATACTAAGTGAAATCTGTGCTTTCTTTTAATTCAGAATTAAGGAGTCTTTCCCTTAGTAAAAGTCTGTTCAAATCATGTTGCTGAGACCTGCATGAACAGATAGCAGCAGCATCCCATAATAATGTAGGAAAAAAATCTACATGGCTGAAGACTGCTCTGGCTGATGTTACCAAAAGCTATCCACAGGCCTGCTTCCACCTCTTCTTTAATCTGGTAAGAATAATTCACTAGGCCATCATGTGACCATTTAAAAGTTTTAAGGTGTCCTTAAGTTAATTATTTTATTACTTTTAAGTAATTGTAATTGCTTTCATAAAGTTACTTAACCACATTTTGACACCTTATTTACTTTTGGAAATATTTGGGTTTCATTTGTTTTGAATGAGTCTGACAACTACTGTTTCTAAGAAATCATTTCCGTTGTTCATAAAGAAAAGCTTTTGGAATAGATTTTTTTGGAAATAAACAGTATGTATCAGCTAGAGTAAAAATGTGCATTGATTCACACCATACACTGGGAAATTGTTCTCCTGGGCAATGATCCACAGTCACTGTCTTGAGGAACAAACATAGGAACCTACAAGGATTCTGCAGTTTGGTGTGAAGCCAAGCTATTTTCAGGATTCCTCCAGTGTTAAGCCACCACCATTTCAAATAGCTGCCAACCTGTTTGGAGGAAATGATGCAGGGTGCAGAGAATGGACTAGAGAAAGAAAGATGGTGGTGTGCTGATACTGGCAGGAAAGGAGGAGGTGGAGATCAAGTAATTCCATGCCTGGCTGGGATAGAGAGTAATTATGCTAGGATGTTAAGATGGTAAAGTTGCAAATATCTGTACAGATTGCAGTCTGAATATTCAGCAACAAAGAAACAATAACACAGCAGCTCTACATGTGGGCTTTCTGCTCACTGGGATTGATAATGGTCTACCAGTATGTAGTAGAAATATTTATCACACATATATTTCACTGTGTTGGTACTGAGGAAAGTTGAAGAAAATTTCCACTTTTATAAAGTTCATGACCCCAAGCTCTGCTGGCAGCAGTGGCTGAATGTATTTGCCTATATTTCAGGCTGAAAGTTTGGTTTCATAACTAGAAAAAAAGAAGATTCTTCTCAAGCTTCTGCAAAGCCTCATGGATTGCTACAGAAAGTTCACAGATATTATTATAGAATGATATACAATGGTTAATAACAGGTTTTTTAGAAATTCAGCCTTATTTACTGAAACAGAAATAAGAATTGCTCTGCAGACTGCAGTGGATGTTATTGATGTGTCCACTCCTTTTCTCACTCTTGGAGGTCCAAACATCTTTCTGCTTCTCTGACTAATGATGCCTTTTACTTGGCAAGTGCACTGGAGAAAGGAACTGCATGACTGTTCTGACTAACTGTAGAATAATAATAAAGGGCTTTGTTGAGAAATTAAGGGCAGGTGGAGGAGCCTTACAAACACTGATCAATATTTTCTGCAAGTGGCAGATGTTCACTATGTCTTGTTGGAAATCCATGAGAAGAGAAGGAGATCTCTATGCTGCTGAGGAAAACAAGATGAGTGAATTGTCTTGCTCTTTCTTAAATGAGAGAATAGAGTGATGAAAAATGAATATATTATAAAGATAATGAGAGAGATGTATCTGTATCTTTGTTATGTTTTTGAATTATTGGGGGAAAATGAGAACCTCAGTAGGATGCTTCAGCCATTTTTTTTCATTACAACCTTATTTGTTCAGCATAACTCTGGCACAGCACACCTTATCTGCTAAGTGCACCTATCTTTGCAAATGAAAGCAGAAATCACTCTTGCTTTCTGGAAAGGGTGTAGTGGGGACCTCCAGGAAGCTCCCACTATTTGTTAACCTCAGAGTGCACTTGAAGTAATGGTCTAACATCCTAATAGTCTTCAGAGGACTGGTTTTTTTTTCACAATTTACAGCATGAGAAGAGAAGGAGATCTCTATGCTGCTGAGGAAAACAAGATGAGTGAATTGTCTTGCTCTTTCTTAAATGAGAGAATAGAGTGATGAAAAATGAATATATTATAAAGATAATGAGAGAGATGTATCTGTATCTTTGTTATGTTTTTGAATTATTGGGGGAAAATGAGAACCTCAGTAGGATGCTTCAGCCATTTTTTTTCATTACAACCTTATTTGTTCAGCATAACTCTGGCACAGCACACCTTATCTGCTAAGTGCACCTATCATTGCAAATGAAAGCAGAAATCACTCTTGCTTTCTGGAAAGGGTGTGGTGGGGACCTCCAGGAAGCTCCCACTATTTGTTAACCTCAGAGTGCACTTGAAGTAGTGGCCTAACATCCTAATATTCTTCAGAGGACTGTTTTGGGGTTTTTTTCCACAATTTACAGCAAATCTTCCTGTGTGATTTTTTCCTTGTCCCAAACTCTTCTTAATCTAGACACTTATGTCAAAGTTAACACAAGTTGTCATAAACATCCTTCCAGCTCTTTTTTTGCATTCTGGCTCCTGTGCTGAAATCCATTCACAGAATCTCTGAACTTCTCTTTCCTATCCTCCTTTTCCTTTTAAAAGTATTTTTTACTTATTAAGCAACCTGTTAGGCTAAAGCTCCTCATCATAATGGGGCCTTTGTTGTCAGAGATAAATTGCAATAATTTCTTATTTCTGCACTGAACTCAGTGATCATAGGTTTCATTTTTTTAATCAATTTTGGAATGTCATTCCCATCTGTTTTTCCAGTTTGGGCTTGCCTAGGAAGTGATTGTTCTCAGTAAACCCCATGGTGTGTAAAAAATAAGAAGCCTCTCTCTCTCCATCTCTTTTCTGTAGAAATCCTGTGCTGGTCTTGGAATGGAAAGGAGGGCAGAAGATGCTGGAATAATGAGAGAGATAGTTTCCTGTTACTGAATAGTAACAGGACTTGAGTTTGCAGTTTTATGTGCACCTCTGTAGCAATGTTACCTTGAATATGTTTCCAAGATCTAAGAAAAAGTCTTAGAGCAAAAGGCAATGGATAAATCAGAAGGATGTGCAGCATTGCATAGAAGGGTACTGAAGTACATTCAGTTGCAGAAGTGAGAGAGACCACACAGATGAGAAACCAAGAGGGCTGCACTGCTTTGGTCTGTGCATAAAAATGGGGCACAGTCTTTGCCCTAAGATCTCCTGTAACACATGCAGGTCAGTATCATGTACACTAGAAGGGAACAGACTGTAAAGCAATTGGGCTGAATTCAAGAATTTTCCATTGCTGCAGGTTTGATTACAAGTGTTTTATAATCTCAGCATTTTGAAATGTTTAATTTTGGTAATTCATCTCATAAAATGTGAAAGGAAGCTGAAGAATGCTGAACAAATTATAAGCCAAAGTATATTTCCTATTGCTTTTTTTTCCCTGCATTTGATGTTGCAATAAATATGCCTGCCCTGCAATCTGTATTCCTTTTAACTCATGGGATGCTGCCCATGAGAGTTATTTGCATGGCAGGAAGAGCAGCAGTGAGCCCAGATGTGTAGCAAACACCACAAGGTGGGAACACGAGATTGGGTTCTTGTTTGTGGAGCATCATAATGACCACAGTAGAGAAGGTGGCACTAAACAGATGGAAACAGGCTCATGGTTCATACAGCCCATTTTCCCCTGCCAGTGATGGCATCTGGATACCACCTGGCTTAGAGTTGCAGAGCTGTGACATAATATAGGACGTGTTAGGAATACTTCCCTCAGCAGCATTTTCAGACTAACCACCTTCCTGGATTTCAAACAGCTTTTTCATAACCTTTGCATTTCAGTTCAGTGGTTTGAAAACAATATTAGCCCTACAACTCCATATTTGAAGTGGCATCATTTGACAGCTGTTTTAAATCACCTGGGTCTGTTACAATAGAGGGGTTCAGCAGTTGACTTCCCATGGTGGATGTTATTGATGTGTCCACTCCTTTTCTCACTCTTGGAGGTCCAAACATCTTTCTGCTTCTCTGACTAATGATGCCTTTTACTTGGCAAGTGCACTGGAGAAAGGAACTGCATGACTGTTCTGACTAACTGTAGAATAATAATAAAGGGCTTTGTTGAGAAATTAAGGGCAGGTGGAGGAGCCTTACAAACACTGATCAATATTTTCTGCAAGTGGCAGATGTTCACTATGTCTTGTTGGAAATCCATGAGAAGAGAAGGAGATCTCTATGCTGCTGAGGAAAACAAGATGAGTGAATTGTCTTGCTCTTTCTTAAATGAGAGAATAGAGTGATGAAAAATGAATATATTATAAAGATAATGAGAGAGATGTATCTGTATCTTTGTTATGTTTTTGAATTATTGGGGGAAAATGAGAACCTCAGTAGGATGCTTCAGCCATTTTTTTTCATTACAACCTTATTTGTTCAGCATAACTCTGGCACAGCACACCTTATCTGCTAAGTGCACCTATCATTGCAAATGAAAGCAGAAATCACTCTTGCTTTCTGGAAAGGGTGTGGTGGGGACCTCCAGGAAGCTCCCACTATTTGTTAACCTCAGAGTGCACTTGAAGTAGTGGCCTAACATCCTAATATTCTTCAGAGGACTGTTTTGGGGTTTTTTTCCACAATTTACAGCAAATCTTCCTGTGTGATTTTTTCCTTGTCCCAAACTCTTCTTAATCTAGACACTTATGTCAAAGTTAACACAAGTTGTCATAAACATCCTTCCAGCTCTTTTTTTGCATTCTGGCTCCTGTGCTGAAATCCATTCACAGAATCTCTGAACTTCTCTTTCCTATCCTCCTTTTCCTTTTAAAAGTATTTTTTACTTATTAAGCAACCTGTTAGGCTAAAGCTCCTCATCATAATGGGGCCTTTGTTGTCAGAGATAAATTGCAATAATTTGTTATTTCTGCACTGAACTCAGTGATCATAGGTTTCATTTTTTTAATCAATTTTGGAATGTCATTCCCATCTGTTTTTCCAGTTTGGGCTTGCCTAGGAAGTGATTGTTCTCAGTAAACCCCATGGTGTGTAAAAAATAAGAAGCCTCTCTCTCCATCTCTTTCCTATAGAAATCCTGTGCTGGTCTTGGAATGGGAAGGAGGGCAGAAGATGCTGGAATAATGAGAGAGATAGTTTCCTGTTACTGAATAGTAACAGGACTTGAGTTTGCAGTTTTATGTGCACCTCTGTAGCAATGTTACCTTGAATATGTTTCCAAGATCTAAGAAAAAGTCTTAGAGCAAAAGGCAATGGATAAATCAGAAGGATGTGCAGCATTGCATAGAAGGGTACTGAAGTACATTCAGTTGCAGAAGTGAGAGAGACCACACAGATGAGAAACCAAGAGGGCTGCACTGCTTTGGTCTGTGCATAAAAATGGGGCACAGTCTTTGCCCTAAGATCTCCTGTAACACATGCAGGTCAGTATCATGTACACTAGAAGGGAACAGACTGTAAAGCAATTGGGCTGAATTCAAGAATTTTCCATTGCTGCAGGTTTGATTACAAGTGTTTTATAATCTCAGCATTTTGAAATGTTTAATTTTGGTAATTCATCTCATAAAATGTGAAAGGAAGCTGAAGAATGCTGAACAAATTATAAGCCAAAGTATATTTCCTATTGCTTTTTTTTCCCTGCATTTGATGTTGCAATAAATATGCCTGCCCTGCAATCTGTATTCCTTTTAACTCATGGGATGCTGCCCATGAGAGTTATTTGCATGGCAGGAAGAGCAGCAGTGAGCCCAGATGTGTAGCAAACACCACAAGGTGGGAACACGAGATTGGGTTCTTGTTTGTGGAGCATCATAATGACCACAGTAGAGAAGGTGGCACTAAACAGATGGAAACATGGTTCATACAGCCCATTTTCCCCTGCCAGTGATGGCATCTGGATACCACCTGGCTTAGAGTTGCAGAGCTGTGACATAATATAGGACGTGTTAGGAATACTTCCCTCAGCAGCATTTTCAGACTAACCACCTTCCTGGATTTCAAACAGCTTTTTCGTAACCTCAGTCTTTGCATTTCAGTTCAATGGTTTGAAAACAATATTAGCCCTACAACTCCATATTTGAAGTGGCATCATTTGACAGCTGTTTTAAATCACCTGGGTCTGTTACAATAGAGGGGTTCAGCAGTTGACTTCCCATGGATAAATCTTTCACAGGTTATCCTACTCTGGTCCTTTAGAAGTCCTGGAGGTCCTGTTCACATCCCTTCAGTTCTTGTAGAAAAGCCAGCATTATTTTGCTTTATGGCAACACTGGTCCATTTCTCAGGAATGTCCCTCTCTTGCATTCAGTTTGACCAACAGTCACAAGTAGTAATATTTGAGTCAGTGCCATAAACTTTGGGCTGGATGTGCTGATACACATAACCCATGAGCCAATATCAAGGAAGGAAAGAGGTGGTACTCAAAAAAAAAAAAGTGTGCATCTGGAGGAACACACATATACTGGAATTGCAATGGAAGCCATCAGGATTCAGCAGGAGTCATTAACATACTTGAACCAGATGATCTTGTAACAGAAGAGAGCACGCAGGGGCCAGACAGCAAAGAAACCTTATCACATTATACAGTGAGGTAAAATTATTCAAAAATGGGCAGAATCCACTCATAAACTGGATACAGCTCATAGCTGAGGGCTAGTGAGCCTGGGTTTCATTCATGCAAAAAAACCAAAGTCCAGCCACTTTAAAACAGTTGTTACAAATATGCTCAAGCCAACTCATCTGAAATATTTGAAGTAACATGCCTGTGTAGACAGGACTTCATTATGTTACTTATTATTGTTCTCAGGGAGTCGTCACCTGCTCTTTAAAGCAAAACATACATTACAAGACAGAATGATTGCTCATTATTGTCATATTCCTTAATTGCCTTCTATATTAGTGCATTCAAAGGAATGTATTTTTCCTCTTCTGCCCTTCTCTGCCTTCATCCAACAGCACTCAGCATTTTCCACAGAGCTCAAAATTGCTCACATTCTTATAAAAATGCCTCAGCCATATGGGGTTTGCTGAGATGAAATAAAAAGTGCATGACTTGAGAAAATGCAATACTTTCTCCTGCATATTGATTCCATGGCTGCTGTATAAACAGGAACTGTCCATTACAAGAACTTCCACTGACTTTTTCTTGTGTTGGAGCTCACATTCTGCATAAGCCAGGTGTGACAGGAGCTCAGCTGTCAGGAAAGAGTGACGTTGCATTAAAGGGTTGGCATGAACTTTGACGCTTGTAAATATATTGCACCAGCCAAGCTCCAGCTGCAACCTTGCAATTTTCCAGACAGATATATTTCCTTTTGCCAAAAGGAATGTGACCTACTGCAGCTAATTTTACGCTATATAAATAATGCTGATAGAGAGACAAGCCTGAGATTAGACAGGTTAGAAAGGCAAAGTAATAGATTAAGTAGGAGAGTCAAAGCATTTATTAATGAGAAATATGAATGTGTTCCTTAAGGAGCTGCAGGAAACCAGCTGTAATGAGGACAAATGAGAGATCTGAGAATAATTAGATCAGTTTTGCATATAGCAAAGTGCATATCTGAGACTTTTTATGACAGAGATTTGCTTGTTGTACAGAGAAATTTGGCTCTTATATTCTGAAAGAGAACATTTCCTCTTAGGCTGTGCTTGACACGCTGACAGAGGGAAGGCTGTGCTGTGTGCCTTGTGCTGCTCTGCCCTCTTTCCCTTCTGCTGTATCTTTCCCCCAGCACTCTGCACCATGACAGGATCAGGCCAAGAGCCACTATGGGTCAGGAACATATCCAGGGGGAGCAGGGACCAAGCTGGTATCCTGATCATATTTTATAAATTAACCAAGAGATCTAAAGCATGGGAAGATACTTTTCTATTTTAATATATATATATTTTTTATTCTTCCATATGAATTTTAAATGTTTTGCTTGACAACAGTTTAAACCCATTGGTACATCAGTGTATGAATATGAGAATTTCCTGCTAACAGGCCAGACAGGGAATTAAAGCCCTGGGTAGACCCAGTTTGTTTTACTCCTAATAATCCAGCATTTGTGGTGTTTTAAGGAATGATAGATTGCCTCTTCTTAAATAAATTATGTTAAACTGTAGCCAATCAGCTCTGGTCGGTGCCATAATTTGCTAAAGTAAATAAATCAGGTGCTAATTTTTATTTTTACCTACTTTCATTTTTTTTTCTCCTGTTTACTTTCTTTATGTTGCTACCATACTTGGGAAAATTAATTTTTGCATGGAAAAATTCTGAAGCATGGAAAGCTTCAGAACAGATGTGCCCAAACATTTCCACTGATAGTGTATTGTGTCATGCATGCCTGAAGTGTTTATAATTCATTTTATGCAAACCTTTATGCTGGGCCTTGAAATGTACTGTGCAGTTGTCAGATTGTCATGGGAAGAAGGTAGGATATGCTCAGCATTTTGTGTGGTTTTAGTCCATGCCTAGAAGTATTTCTCCTAAGTAGTACACAAACCAGTGTAATGTCTAAAATCCACAAAATCTGAAACTTTTAGGTGTTTATATTTGTATGGGATCCCATGAAAATACCCTGATTTCCAAAACAACTGAGCATTTGCAACTTCTCCTGAGGTCAATGAAAACTCATCTTCTCTGAAAGACAGTTCCATTCTGCAAGTTTCCACACAGGACTTCTATGTTGAATATTAGACCTACTCTGTGGAAAACACTATATACAATATTATGAGCATTAAGATCAGGTGGAGAGACAGCTGCTTCCTATTTGTGTAAAGAAACTTGGCCAAAGTCAGGGACAAGAGAGAAGTGAGTTGCTGGTTGCTTGCTCCTTCACTCCTCCTCTTTGCAGATAGGAACCTAGACATTGGACTTCCTTCTGCATAATATATGCCTTTCCTCATTCTTCTGAGCAGTATATACTTTGACTCATCTCAGGCCTACTTCAAAGACACAGAAATCAGAGGGAACACTCTCAGACCTTTCCTACTAGAGTGAAGTCATACATTCTAACTTCAGGACAGGTAAACAGTGAGTTATCTCAGCTGAGCTCTTAGTAAAGACAAGGGAGTTCAAGTTCTGTCTTCAAGATCTCATTAAAATTCAAGTTTATTTAAATTTAATAATTTAAGTGAAAATGCCACTATGGATATTTTTTTAAAATGGTTTAAAAAGTAAAGTATCTATTTTTTGAGGTACCTCTACTTTGATGCACAGAAAAAGCGCTCAGGTCTCAAAACATGCAAACTGCTGAAAGAATAATGGTTCTGTTGTACTCCTATAAAAAGAAGGACCAGGTGGCCTAATCAAGTTTTATTGGGCATTGCTTTCTAATTGTTGACATGACTGAACCATCAAAAAAAAAAGCTGTAAAAGGTGCTTATCTAATATTCTGAGCAATGTACTTCCTTAAGAAAACTTAGCTCTGATACAGCATTCACCTTTAATTGATACCTTTCCTCTCAGGTAACTGTGGAATTAAGATGAAAAATAGAGTCAAATTAGTTTTTCATGGCTCATCTTCATCTTAGGTAGAGTTTTAAAGTTTAGGTATGTCCTCCTTATACGAGGTCTGCATGTCTCAGTCTGCAGAGGGCTGACAACTGCCATGGAGCAGACTGACAGCACAATTACCTGCAAGGTGTGCCCTATTGGGAAAAGGCTGAGCTTCAGCACTTTGGTCATGTCACAGCATGTGACAAAATGTTACCAAAGAGGTGATTACTCCTGTCCTACCACAGCAGTCCTTGTGTCAATTGGTTCTAGCAATGGCAGCCATGCTTAAATTGAAGAACTTCTTACAAATCTAAGCCACGATTTGGATGAGAAAATGTGGGATGTGGGCAGAGAAACGTCGTGAGAATAACACACACTGCCCTGGGGGATACTAGAGCTGAGTGTGCACTTACTGTACTGCATTGTATTCTTCCCCTTGATTTTAAATACCAGCAGTTAATGACTATCCCCTTAACGCTGTCCAAGTTTGTGTTTGCACAGTATTTAAAGAGGAGGTAAGTTGCTTACAGACAGGGATTCCTAGAAATCAAGTAGGCTGTTAACTCTAGAGCGATACTAGCTCCTCAAAAACTAACTTCTTGTCTCGTGTTATGCATGAAAGTTCATGTGAGGCAAGACTTGGAGCTGATAATCATTTCATGGAGCCATGAATAGAGAGAAAAGACACAACTTTCAAACAAGAAATCAGTTTATTGAGAGCACTGGGGCTATATGACTCACTGATTTATCTGAGTAGGCAAACAAACCAGAAAGTATTGAAAGAATAGCTGTGATCAATGAAAATGAAAAATGATTTTGTTCTTGCTGAGATCAGAAAAAATATCCACTTTATGAATATAGATTGCCTAGGTTTGGAATATCTGTAAAGGAAAACAGTTACATCTGGTCAGTTTGACAGAGCTGGTAGTTTGCTTTCACAGATGGCTCAGACTTTTAAGAATTCTTCAAAGCAGTTAACACAGAAGTTAATTTTTTGTGAAAAGAAATTGAATTAATATTTGAGTCAAACACATGCTGATGTGTTTGTCAAAAAGACTTGATCACAGAGACAAATCACAAGAGAAATATTCTTCACCTGGTAGTCAAATTAGCCTTTTGAATGGTGGGATTTTCTCTGCCCTGTTCCCTGGCAGGTTCCTGTTGCATATCTGGTGGAAGTTTAATTATTTTCACAAAGTTAAGTGTCACCAACAAGAGACTGAGAGCATAGAATGCCAAAAACTCCTCCAACATTCATGGGAGGTAGCAGTTTTATATTAAGCTGGGAGGGAAGAATTTAGCAAGCCTCTCACAACCTGAAAAAGTAATCTGAACTCCTCCAGTGAAAGGGAGGCATCAGTCTTCCCTATAATGCTCTTCGGATCTCACCTCAAAACTGACACTAGACTTTCCCAATTCTGGGAAAACATGCTTTGAAACACATTTATCATCATCCAGTATGAAACAATGTCAAACTAAGACACCCAAAAGGCATCATCAAATCCTCATTAAAACTATGGCCACCTAATTTTTAGGGGTTTCTCATAGCTTAGTGTCCTTGTGTAGTTATAGTCTAAATATACCTGCAAGCAAACCTTTCCCACAGTGTTTCAGAATGAGTCAGTACCTCAAGCTTCTCCTGGGCTGGATCTCGTCATAACTACTTGTTTCTGCAGACAAACTGCTCATTAAAGAGGACTCAGAGTGATGCATAAGAAAAACAAAATTATATTGTTACCAGGCAGATGCCCAGGAATGCAGCTGAGTGATGCAAATACAGCAGGAGACTTTAACAGACACGTGATTTCCACTGAAATATTTTGACATCAGAACCAATTAATACAATTTTTTGTTCCAGAAATTGAATTTGTTCAGTCCGTGTCCTTTAAATTCTTGCTCCTGAACATAATTCTTCCTGATTCTCAGCAAACTTATGTGAAACAAAAAAATGAACCAGAACAGAAAGCAAATCCTTTCTTAAGCTATCTATTTACATAGTATTTTTTTCCAATAAGTTATCTCAGAGCATCACGACAGGGAAAGTATTTCAGTAACATATTGTCAGAAGTGCACAAACTATATTTTGCATATATCTTTTGTGTACAGGATGCTTCTTATCTTCTGCTCAGAGAATTCCAAAGAAGTGGACAGTGCTAGGAAGATAATTAACAAGATGGTAGCATAATTTGTGAAGCAATTTTACATTGCAGTAGAGATGGCATTGCAAGATACCCTTTTCCTGAGGCTCATTGGTTCCTATATCAATTTCACTCAGTTTGTAAATATAATGATTTATTTCAATTTAGCTTAAATTGACTCCCTCTCCCATTTCTTGCATTATATCTAGTTATAGAAACCCTCTGCTTTACATTAATAGCACAGAGATTTTTGTGCAATTTTACACATCTTCAGTGTTGCCCAAGTGAACTCATTATACTCTTATAGCTTTGCACTTATTCCAACCCACCCATTTCTGCATGGGAACCCAAAAGAATGAAAAAAGTATATAAGTCAGCTGCAGAATATATACAACATGCTTCAGAAAGTGCTCAGAGTGAATTACAGGATAAAGCCTGAATTTGCAAAACTAGCAACTTGCAAAAACATCAGCGGTCCTCAAATCTGATATGTAAATCCATGAACAGAGTCAATATCAATAAGGCAGTTGATGTGCCAAGACTTCTGTTTACTATATCAAATATTTTCACTTTGTTTATGCTTTGTTTTTCCGGCATTTCCTTGGCTGTAGGTTTCTGCACCTCTTGTTGTCAATTAATAGTAGCTACACTAATCAGATCACCCTCTGGGCTAATAACTGCCTCATTGCCCTCAGTAGCTGAATGGAGAAATTATTACAGAAAAAGAAAAGACTGTTCTTCATTCCAGAGTAGAGAAGAAAGAGAAACAAAAGAGATAGCTTTAAGGGCCCCAAAGCAGGAATTAGGGAGAAAATAACTCACGATACATGACAGAGCCAAGAACAGTATTTTCACTTTACCTCTCAAGCCTGAGCAAGGATCATACAGCCCCAACTGAGAAGCAGAACATTGCTTATCAAAGCATTCATTTCTGGTCAGATGCCTACAGTGACTAATTGTCCTCACCTACACAGGAAGGGCAGTGCTTGCTGTAGCTCATCTCCCCCTGCTCTCTGACCCCAAGGAAGGTGTTCATATACCTTTGAGAAGTTTTAGCTCATTGTTGCTTTTGACTAGATAAACCACTTACCTGAGCTAGTGACAGCCTCACACAGTTTCTTTGATGAGCCTAGGTACCATGGTGACACTAGAATTATCTAGCATGGAAGACAGAGGAATTACAAAATCATTTTGTTGAGAAATGCTGAAGGGAAAGGTCTCAGACCTTTTCCTAAGATTTGATGCCAAGCTAACTATCTCCATGTATAAAGCATGCTTTTTGCAGTAAAGACAGGATTATAGCCAGCTAAGAAGTTTCTAGGAAATTTAGCCAGCACATAAGACAATTCAGGATTTTTTACTCTGCCAACTAACATAAAACAGAAATACATTCTTTTTCCTCTGTTCAAACGATAGGGCCAGGCTGAAGATCCATTCAATCAGCATTCCAGGCCTGCTGTGAGATGCTATACCCATTTTTACAGAACAGTAAGCTGATATGCACAGAGTTAGTGCCAGTCAAAACAAGAGCCCCAGGAAGTCTTATGGTCTAATCAGTAGCCACAAAGTTTCTGGCTTTTTGGGAAAGAGGCATATTTCACAATGCAAGGACTGATCTATTTATGTAGATGCACATCTACAAGGCAACTTTTTCAGTTTCAGCTGTAATACTGAAAAGCCTTTTTTCATTTTTATCCATCATGTGATGAAGATGTGAAAGATATGATCATAATGACAATAAAGATTAAAGGTAGGAAATTAAGTAGGGCCTCTTAGGCATTTGAACAATACTCTTTTTTGGCTAATAATTATTCTTCCTGATAATAATAACATGTAAGGAGAGTAAATTATATCATCATCATTGTTACCTTCATATCTTGATGTATGATTTGACTATGAACCACTAAATACAGTACTATCAAAATTAAGAATGTTACACCTGTAGCACATCACAAACCACCTACAAGTTACAAAGAGTAGGTTCCCACTGTGCAGCTGATTTTAATTATTACTAAGAGTTATTTCCACCTAGAGAAATTAATGTAGGTCTCTCAACACACAAGCAGAATTTGCTACCCTACAGGCAATTTGGAACCTCCTTTCCCTGGAATCCAGGGGAATTAATATCCATCCCAGGTATTTAGTGTCAACCTACCTTTGATACTTCACAGATTTCTGTCTAGTAATTAAGGATGAAAGACATTGGTGTCCCTTCTTGAACCCATCTGTGTTGCAGAACTTGCTGAGAGCTATTGTTAGGGAGAGGAATGAGGTATTCTTTCCCTATAGTGACTTGTCAAAAATAGACTACCAAACCAGCCAGTGATCCTGGGTAAACAATGGGAACCTAAATTAAAGGAGAGCAAATAAAGCAAGAATTACTATTCATGGGCTTCCCTACTCATTAAAGCATGGAAGGATGGATGCAGTTATGCCAATAAAAATATGTGCAGAATGTATGGTATGGTGTATCTAGATGCCTCTCTTACTTCATCCATACTAGGAGTTGAACTGTCACAACTATTTTGCATTAAAATATCACATTGCTGACGGAGAAAGAATATAATAAATGCAGTGCAGCTGGAGCCAAATGTGGTATTTTTTCTTCAGCAGTTCATCTGCCCAATGACCTCCCCCTTGCCATCCACTATTTCAGGCTGTCTTTTTTATCTTGTTGCTATGTGACCCTAGGTCAATTGGCAGGAAGAGGAAAGAATTATTTGGAAATTTAAAATACTAAACCTGCAGTGGTTAGAAAGGATTTTTTTCCTTCAACAGAGTTTAAATAAAAAGTGGGTGTAATCTGGTTGTATCTGAATGCCAGAAGAAACATGACAGCTCATAATGCCTGGAAAAGGCTTTTAAAAAAAGTCGATTTTTTATTTCTCTCTCTACTTTAAAACTTCACATTTCTTAAGGAAACACAGCTTAGGAAATCACACTGTAAGCCAAACTTTTTCAGTAATTTTTGAACCTGTTGCAATTTCTGAGTCAATTACAACCTAATCTGATCAAAGGCTAGGGAATTATAAACTCAGTGAAAATCAGGGAATGTAAAAAGGAAAAAGATCAAAATTAGAATCGCTGTGGAAGGAAAGACTGGAGCAAAACCTCAAGCTATCCATTGCATTTGCTGTGGCCAGGTGATCAGCACATGCATCTCCCAAGTTTATCTGATAGCTGCCTTTCATAGTCACGGGCCTCGGGGTGGCACGTGGCAGCAGAGGAGCAGAACTACGGCTTCACGGGGAAGGGTGCACGGGAGAGGATACAGGAATGCCCCACCCAGGGAGCAAGGCTGCTTTAGTTCAGCTGCTTGGGGAGTAACTTCACTTATTTTCTGCTTTTACCTCTTGCCTGGCATTGTTCTTTCCTGGAATGAAATTAACAATTCACTGTCATTCTCATCATTATGGGTCTAGTCTGTTCATGGCCAAAACCAGGATTAAGGAAATCTCAAAGAAATATGGGACCTTTGACTAAATCAGCAAATTAGGCCAAGTTATTCAGAACACATTCATCTCCTGAATTCTGAGAATTTTCCTCTTTTCTAAAATGTTCATTTCTTTCCCCTCTCCTGACTAAGTGAAACAGTTTCTCTGTTTTCTGTCTCTTTTTTCTTACAGCTGCCTTGCCAATTCACTCTCACGGCAGGAGCACTGCTCTCGCTCTATTGCCCCTTCTGCCATCCCATTATAGGGGAGATCTACAGAGGCAAAGATAGTTATTTTGCCAATTTCCCATGGGTCTAGTTCATTGGACATGGTTTTGCAACCATGAAATACTGGTTTAATAAAGTTCAAGAGGGGAAACTATTGGAACTAAAAATGAGTACTTTTGGTGGAATTTTTTATCCTAAGGGTAATACAGGAGGGAATTTCTGTAAGAATGTTGATGACTACTGGGACAGTGAATGGTAAATTGACTTCAGACACAGACTACTTCTAAGATACTGATATTTGTTCCTCAGCTCCACATAAATAAATGTATAAACATGCTTTTTATTTTATTATCTTTGTGCCTGGTACTTTTTTTTTTTTCTTTCTTGCACATATTTTGAGTTTAAATGCCGCTTTCTTCACAGGATAACTCCTATCAGAGCCGGTGGTTTTTTGGTTTCTGTTTTTTTTTTTTCCCCCCTCCCCTATACAAGATTGTAAACCCTAGTTCACATTCAAAAATTATTTATTGTCTCTATTTTTTCAAGACTTCAATCAGAAACCAGACAAGCTGGAATCATCCAGGTGATCTTAATTTTTTTCAGTTAAAAAATAAATTAAAACATTCTAATAAATGTATCTCCCAGTGCAGTGTCTCAATTCAGGTATTTAGCCACGTTCAGTGAAAACTTATAGGGCAGGGCTTGAAAGGAAAGACTCACTTAAGCGTGACGTGGAAAGGAAAAGAGAAAGAAAAAACGGGAAGAGCACGGAGTCGCTGTGTGATTTACACGGGAGGAACGAAGGCGGCAGTGCCGAAGCCCGGCGCTCCCCTCTCCCGCAGCCGCCTCGAGGGAGCGCGAAGCCGCCTGGCAGGATGAGCCATTAACCTGCACTAACTACAGCTCCCATCAGCCCGGGCGCGGGGCTGCCCCGCCGCCGCCGGAGCCGCAGCCCGAGCCGCAGCCCCTGCCGGAGCCCCCCCGGCACGCCGGGGTCGGCCGGGCCTTCCTCGGGCGCCGGCGCCGCGACGCGCCTCCCTCTCGCCAAGATGGCGGCTCCGTTGGCGGTAAATTCAGGTAAGAACAATCTGAGCGCGGGGCTGCGGCTTCTCCTCCGCCTCTCCCCGCGGCCGTCCCGCTCCCCGGCCGCCGGTGGCCCTGCGCCTCTCCTCCGAGCCCGTGGATCCGGGGCGGCCGCCCTGGGCAGGCCGGGCGTGGCGAAGCGGCGAGGCCCGGGCGGGCAGCGGGGCAGGGCTGCGGGGCGCGGTGTGCGGGAGGCGCTGGCAGAGCGGCCTCCCGGGCGGCCGTACCCGGGCCGGGCCCCGCAGCGCTGCCCGGGGACGGAGCTCCGCGGGCAGAGCTGCCGCCGTGCCTGGCTGGTCCCGGCGGGCAGTCACGTCAGGCAGCCGAGGCCTCTTTGCTTAGAGGGGACTGTGGTAACTCGGTGTGCACGTGGTTACCCATCACTTCGGTATTACATTCGTCTCCTAATGCTGCGTGGTGTAAGAGGCAAAACCAGAATTTTACCCTACTCTCTACACGTAATGCTATTCAGTAGTTAGAGAAAACAAACAAAGCCCCTATCCTTCTTTACCCATCTTTTTCTAAGACTGGACCAGGTCACTTCTTCAGCCTCTTGTTAATCCTATTCTCTGTCTCACTATTTCAGTGTCTAGCTCTGAGGAGCCCAAAATTAGACACAATATAGGAGTTAAGGACTCTGAGATGCCTAAATAATCACTTGCATCTGCTGGCTACAGCTGTTAATACAGCCTGGCGCCTGTAGGCAGCCTGTGCTGTGAGCCTGTGCTGCTGACTGGTGTTCAGCTTCCTGTCTGCTGGGACACTTGGCTGTTTGACACTTGGGTAAAGCTGCTCTCCAGAACCTGCCTTGCTTCCCAGCCTGTGCAGTGATTCTGTGTTGGGTGTGAGATGTTGCATTTACTCCTGCTGAGCTTCATTAGGTTAACAGAAGGAGAATTGAGACCCTGTGAAAAACAGTTGTCACTGGAATATAGGCCAGTAGGTCTGTAAATAAGGTTTTGTATGTCAGTAGTGACAGTTAATAGTTATTATTAATTCTAGCTAATAGAATTAAAACCTCCATTCCTGTGGCAAGCAAGGAACAAATTTTACAGAGAAGATTTTTTGATCTCACTGAATGGATTGCATCCCTGTAGCAAAGACTCTTAATGAAAAACTATGGCTTTGTTGAAGTGAAAATTGGAGTAGTTCAAATGAGACTATTTTGTGAGTTACGCAGCAAGAGAGTCTATAGCCTTATAATTAAAAAAATAGGGGAAGAAAGAGTTTTTTACAGGAAATATGAGAAAGATTAAAAGGAGATGTGGCAGTAGAACTAGTAAAGATTTTGCTTTAGGTTATAGTATGTTGTTTGTGGGTACAGACATATCATGTTTGTGTCTATCACTTGGCACAATGTTCAGGTATATAAGCATCAACTGCTACTGTTGCCAAGAGATACAACTCAGGCTGTCTTTTCTTGCTGTCCCTGATGGGATGGTCAGCCTTTCTAAAATTAGTAATAATAGAACAGCTTAAGTGGGAAAAATCAGCATGGTTGCTGAAGTCCCACCTCTTCCTATTCCAGGTGCCTGTTGCTTTGTCTGCAGTAATCCATCTTTGTGCCATTGCAGAGCAGACTGGGTTGTAGATGTGATCCTGCTGAAAATCAACTCCTTTTTGGATTAGATTTTGGTTAGAGAAGTTAGAGTCTTAATTTGTTCTAATTCCCTGCAGTACATGTGTTTGGACTGGTGCAAAGCAATTATGTGGTAGGGACAAGAGCAAACAAATGGGCCAGGGAGGTAGTTGATCAGCTTTTGGCAGGCACTGTGGCTTGCTGTTGGTATTTATTTGACTTGGTAATGTAGCAAGAGTGAAAAGACAATTTTAAGTGGAAATAAATCTGAACTCTGAAGTTGTGTGGGACAGCCAGTTACAGCTGAGTCTGAAATTATGCATACAGTAGTAGCTTTTTCTGGGCAGGGGTAACATTATATGAATTAAAACACTGATGCTCAGAAAAGGCAAATTTGTCCCTTTTTTACAGGTTGCCCCAACACAACCATATGGGCACTGCTAAATGTGTTGTCTTAGTCATTTGTAAATTCACATGTAGCTACTCAGCATGAATGGCTTCACCCATTTAAGTGTGTAGGGTTCACCATTTAAGAATGGCAGTCTTTGATCTGACATTCTAGAGGTACTTTGAAGCTTAGGAGATTGGCATTTTGATTGTTGGGAGGGATATCAATTTTAGTTTGAGTAATCAAAGGAGCTTGTGCTCCCTCAACAAGGAATGTTTTTCCCTGATTAGCGAGGCAGGATTTTACACCCCTTCCAGATGACTAACTCAGTACACACTGGTTCATCTCTGACAATGTAGGAGCAATCAAGGTGATTTAAGTAGCTTGCCTTTGCTTAAACTGCTTGTTGGTTTTCCCAAGTTGCTCACTCAAATAGTAATCTTTGGAAATGGTTGAAACAATTTTTCTTTAGCCATCTGCTTTAATGCAAGTGTATTGTATATTTTGGTTCGATGGGTTGTTTAGTTAATAGTGAAGGTAGTCCTTTTCTGGAGTGTTCTGTAGAAGTGGTAGAGTCACAGTCCTGGAGGGATTTAAAAGACATGTATATGTGGCACTTGGGGATGTGGTTTAGTGGTGGACTTGGCAGTGCCATATTAGTGCTTAAACTCAATGACCTTAAAGGTCCTTTCCAACCTGTATTTAAGTATTCTTTCTTGTAAGATGACTTTTAATGCCAGAATTTAGGTGTGTACATAATCTTTTTTGGTTCTTTACTTCCCTAAATGCAATTAAGTTTTATATCAGACCATTGTTGGGTTTTTTTTGGTTTTGTGCTTTAGGAAAGGAAAATATACTTGATTGTGTGTAAGAGTATACTGACATGCCAAGAGTAACAGTAAACTAAAAAAGAGTCTACTTATTGAAAATAATGTATAAATAATTTTTCTTCCTTTCTCTATTTCAAATACATTGTTTATCTCTTCTTTTAGCTGCAAGCTTGTGGGGTCCATATAAGGACATATGGCAGACTGTAATGAATGCCATTTGGAAAAGGCAACCTGAAGCTGTTCATCGTCTCGATCAAGTTCTAAAGAAGCACAAATCTGACTTCATTTCTCTCTTCAGAAATCCGGTACTGGACTAATGCTCTCTTCTGGAATGAGCTGGAGATCTGATGATTTACTCTGTCTTATATTGTTGACTTACATGCCATTTTAGACCCTGGCCATTCTTTTCATGTGACATTTTTACTGTACATAACCCAGATGTGTTATATCAGTCCTGTTCAGAATATAAATAGTATTAAGTGGGGAAAAAATAATACATACATATTATATTGCATCTTCTACAGGATAATTTTATCTATGATGATTTTTTTCTCTCATATCTGAATGCTATTTTGAAAGGAATAGTAAAAGTATCTGATGATCCATCAGTCATGCATTAACTCTTTGTTACTCTTGTGTGTCTGAAATAAAGCACAAAGCTATTTTGTCTGGTTTTGTTCATATTTCAGTCAGATTAACAAACATAAAATATGTGTGAACACATGAACTTAAAAAATACAGAATGTGTTCTGTTCAGAATGCCAGATAACATGAAAAAACTCCCTGTTTCTTGGCTGGTGGATCATAAGGTAGTAACTAGAAACATATCTTTTTTCAGTGGTGTAATTTCTCCAATAGTAGATGGCTTTTTTAAATTGAAAGGTTGGAAAATTTAACAGTCAGCTATAGAGTTTCATCAGTATATTTTAGCATCTCAGTTTAGTGGAAAAAGAACGATGTAGAGAATAGTTGAGAGTTACACAACAGTTCTTATCAACAACCCAGATGTCTTTCACTGTGTTGATAACCAATTCCTCCTGAGAATTGTATCAAAGTTTGCTTTCAACCACTAGCATTTTGAGCAAACTAAATGTCAGCACTGATTGTATAAGATTATTTTTTCCATTCCCACAAAGAGACCACTGCTGTCCAAGCATGAAGCATTTTGAGGATGCCTTTACTATCTCTCTTTAAAAGCACTGCCTTTGTTTTTATGATGACAGCCTAACCTGACAGAACTGTATTTGTGAGGAAGGATTAATGTGTAAAGCTTTGTTCGGTATTTGATCTTGCCGTTTTGAATAACTTCCAATGCTTGTTTCTCTTGCAGCCAAAAAATGTTCAGCAGCATGAGAAAATTCAGAAAGCAAGCACAGAAGGAGTTGCTATCCAGGGCCAGCAGGGAACTAGGCTTTTGCCAGAGCAGCTCATCAGAGAAGCCTTTATCCTCAGTGACCTCTTCGATATTGGAGAGCTGGCAGCTGTTGAGCTCCTTCTAGCTGGTGAGAAGGGAAAATATTTAAGATCTGGAGAAATACAGCTTAAATAGGGCCTTATTTAAGTGTACATTTAAGGTGAATGCATGATACAGTGAAGGCCTTAGCTTCCTCTCACAGAATGTTCTTAAAAATAAATTCTCACTCTGTCATGTCATGTCATGTCATATGGTAGCAGTGTTCTAAACCCTAATGTTTGTATGCTCAGCTATTGCAAAGGGGGATATATGCTGAGGAGGTTTTATGATATACTTTCTGTATCATTGAATTTAAACATAATTAAAACATGATTGAGAGTTTTTCCCTAAAGCAGTGTCATAGATACTGATTCTTCAAATTATGTGTTAGTTATGCATTGCTGTGTCATTCTGTAATGTAATAATTGATTAGTAAGAGAAATATTCTGGAGAGTGACACATTTTTTGTGTAGAAGATTGATTTTAGAATCGTTAAGTTAAAATAGTTGTTATTACTAGTTACTGTTCACTAACTTGAAAAATTCGTTAAAGTAGATTGCAAGTTTGTCACCTTTGGAAA